TTTGTTCCCACTGGATAGTTTTCAACACAGGTCAACAGGGCTTAATACAGGTACATTTTACAAATATTTCCAGTTTCATGAGTAGGAATGAAAACAACACCTGACCTTAGATTTGCTTTGAGAGTGAGAGGGCTGTTTTCAAGCATGGAGGAGCATGTGGTGAGCTCCAAGGAGGTCCTGGAGGGGGTCTAAGGAGGTCCTGGAGGGGGCCCAAAGTATGACCTGTGCTGAGTGATTGTGAACCTCCCCTACTGTGATGTCTCCTGTGACTTGTGACTATTTTTCCATGGTACATGTAGCAGGTGCCCCTATTTTTCTGCCCTTATCCCCAGGAATCCCACAAGGAAGAGCACCGTGGACAAGGCTCTCTTTCTGCAATGACAGGGAGTGAAATGGCTTATTGGCTTGCCCATGCAACAGCCTGCCAGGATCCTCCTGGGATGCCCTGTGTCCATGGTCAGACAGCCCAACACAAACAGGCTGCTCTCTTATCCCATCTAACATAAGTGAATTGCATAAATACAATGTTTTTCTTTTGTTTGTTTACTGTAAAATACACTAAATTGGGTGTGCATAAGCAGAGCAGGATGCTGTACATGGAATGGAAGAGAGGACAAGAACAGGCTGCTCAGCCCTCAGCCTGGACAACCTGTACCTCAGTTCATGATCTCTGGCTTCTGTCATCACCTCATCATCCCATCACCACAGTCACAGCACTTTCATAGCAATTAGGAAATTATTTTAAGAATTGTCATATTTTGTGCATTTGTGGTTGTTTCTATGGAAAATGGAACCAGTTGGGGTAAGAATAAATTTTTAAAAAGATATCCAATACCTTCATCTTAAATAAAAACCAAAACTTCATGAATTCATATACAATTCTGTATGTGTGTGTCCTTCCATCTGGCTACTCAAACAGTGATGTTTGTCGTCAAGGTGAGAAAATGTTACTCCCAGTGATCCTTAGCACATCCCAGAGCCCATGCTGCAATTATTGGGTTACTTGATTCTCCGCTGGGTCATGAAACAGAAGTGCCCATCCCAAGACCCACCCATACCTGGTGCCCAACAAAGGCTCAGGCTCTGTGCCCAGCATTCCCATGAATATGCTGTCAGCTGGGTGCTTCCTGATGCAGAACCACAGCAGGGGACACAGCCACGCAGTGCACTGGACAAGAACAATCCACTGAAATGCTGCAGGCACAGGCTGACTGTGGACTAATATAGGACCTTGGAAGCTCAATACACAGAGCTCACAATTAGACTAATCAGTCCATGCGATGCCCATCACTAAGGACTTCCTACTATTAATGAAGGAAGATGAAGAAAAGAAAACAAAGGTCCACTTAAGATTTAGACCCTAGCTATAATTGGGAGGCACCTTATGTTCTCAGTTTACTTTTTTCTCTTTATTAGTATTTAAAGATACATCTCCTTTTAATGCCTAATTCTTATTAGGTAAAAATATAAATAACAAAAATCACTATATGAACCATAAGAAGCATACATTTCAGTGACAGGTATTTGGTCATTAAGTGTTTTTAATTAAAGCATTTAATTTTAATTAAGCATTCAGTCATTAAATTAATAGTGTTAAATTACTTAAGCATTCAGTCATTAAATTAATAATGTTAAATTAACTGCTCAAAGGACTCTGCAGCATTGGAATGATGTGAAACTATAAAACACACCTCAGACCAAGCTCTAAGGGTCTCCTGTCACTTCCTCTTGTTCCTCCTCTGCTTTTCCTAGTCTCATGGATGTCCCTGCCATTGTTCTTGAGTAATTGGAGGTTGTAAATGCTGTTAAGGAGAAGTATGGGGCTCCTGTGTTCATGGCATAGACACAGACAAGATCTGCTCAATCATGTGTCTGGCTCTGTGGGACATTCCTGCTGAGGAGGAAGGGACAGAGGACAGCACCAGTGTGCTGAAACCCCACTGAGCAAGTCCAGGACCTGAGCAAAGAGCAAGAGCTTAACACATTTTTCCCTATTTCATCTCCTGTGTCTAACGTGGTCTATAGGCTCTGAGGAATCAGAAATGAAGGTGAGATGGTCATTTCACCCCAAATATTCAGCATACACCTACATAAGAGGAGTATGAAAATGTGACATTATAGAAATTGAAAACACTAACTTTAGATCCAAAGATATTTCAGTTGAATAGTATGAACATTTGCCTTTCCATTTTAATAATAACTATTTAATTTTTGCCCACATTTTACACCTTTATCACATATCAACCACACAGAGAGCAAAGTTTTCTATTTAATCTGGATTCAGTGACATTGGATGCACTGGAAACCCCCATGGATCATATTGCTGTTTCAGAGACTCTAGTAAACGGCCAGGTGTTGGAGGGAAAAAAAAATGAGTCCAGCCAACAGCAGCCAAAATTAAATTTTGACTCTCTAGGGTCTGATGAACTAAACATTTTCACTGTTTTTTTTTTTTAATATATTTTTTTTTTTTTAGTTTTCAACTGACACAACATCTTTGTATGTGATGCTGAGGATCGAACCTGGGCCGCATGCATGCCAGGCAGTGTGCTATTGAGCCACATCCCCAGAATATTTTAAGCTGAATCCAGGGGATTTAGCTGCAGGCACATTTTTCAAATTCCTGACTAGTAATGCAGTCCAGACCTGCTTTGTCTCCTCTTGAGATGGAGAGGACTGGGAACCAGAATGCAGGAGGATGTGGCATCTTCAAGGATATCTTGGAGTAGCAGAAACAGGGAGGTCTGGGCTGGATTATCGGTGCCTACTTGATCTTAAATTTTTGTCTCATCTCAGCCATTCTTTCAGAAGTGGATCAAGTGACAAACTAACTGCTCTGAATTGGGATCTACCAGAAATCCCAAAGGGAAGTACACATGAAAAGGAAGCCCATCTTGCAGAGAAAGGAAAGTACAACCCACTGCTGTTTTTGAAGAGGACAACCTGCCAGCACTGGTCTGACAAGAGGCCATGTGCCTCAAACCCACACTACATTTCAAATGTGACTTCAGTTGTTCTATCTGAACATAATCGCAATTCATATAAACACCTATACTCTTTCCTGCTGTCTAAAATAAAATTGTGTGACACTTATGCTGTGGGAAGACTTTGCACATGAACAATCAACCTACAAATAAAACATAGTTTAGCAGTGGCACTCAGTAATTCCCCCCAAAAAAAAAGATCATCCTCATCCTCATCATCTCCTTCATAAATCTTTTGAATTGCTTAGCACACATTTAAAGGGACACATTCTCTCCTCTTGTGGATGACAGCTTGTGACAGGAACAGTCAGTGTGGGAATAAGACAAGGCTTTCCATGTGCTTTCTGTTGTGCACACCACAACCAAGCCTATGAACTCATAGAATCATCACTCATCATCTGTCCCTTGTTCTCCCATCTGATAGGCAAACTGCATGCTCCTCCTGACAGTGAAGAAATAATGTTGTGGAATGCCCTTCAGCCACCCTTCGCCTCTTACAGCAGTTACTGATTCACACTGGAGCTCTGTGGATGTAGAACTAAGGAGGGTAGCTCCAAAGCCCCAAGTCCCCAATGTCCAGTGGCCCTCATTTCAGCCTTCGGGTACCAACACAAGCTCAGCTAAGAGCTTCCTGATGCAGACATCCATAGCAGGAAGAGTAGGTATGGAGCCCACTGGACTGGAGTCCTCAAGCCGAAGGGCTAAAAGAAGCATAGACTGATTGTTGACTACTGTGTGAACTTGGTGGCTCAATGCCTAGGGCACCCAATTTACCAAGTAGTTTTGAAGCATATCAGGAAGAAGAGGAGGAGAAAATAGACATCAATAAATGTTCACAGTTTGTATCAATTGCTAACTAGGTTCTTCTCTAATATCAATTTATTTTTAAAGACTTTTTTCATATTAGTATTATTATGGTAAATTTAAGCTACAAAAAGTTACAATTTCATCTTTCTCAAGTATATAGATGTGTAGCATTAATCACATGTGTATTTTTATGACACTGTCACCGTGATCTATCTCCAAAATTTTTCATTTTTCCAAAGTGATAATTGGTTCCAAATGTGAAAAATTCCCAAACATTCCTTCAAAGATTAGCTATAGGCATTGAACAAAGAATGTGAGAAACTAATTAGAAAAAAAAAAAAAAAAAAAACAGGAAGGAAAGGCTCTGCTTTTGTTGGCCTCACACATGTATGCTGGATAGAGTTCACTCCACAGCCAATCAGAGTCCCGGAAGCGCACAGGCTCAGGAGTTTGGCTGTGGTTGCTTGGCAACGACTGTTTCCAGGTGGACCACTACCAAACCATGAGCTCCACTGTGGATGGTGCTGTGGGGAGACTTGGCTCAACTCTAAGGGCTAGATTGGGATTTCAAAGGCAGTTTTAGGCGAGGGGGAGGGAAGATGCCTCTGAGGCCCTGGCCTCTGCCAAGGAGAAGCCTTTTGGCTTGGGAACTCAGGACCAGGGGCCCTTGGGCTCCTCCACCAGCCTGAGGATGACGTGCCTGTGCTTTGAGCAGGGAAGTCTTAATGGATGTAGCTGGCCCAGGTACCAGGTAGGATACAACCAGTGAACAATGTGCAGAAGGCTGTAAGTGTGGGCAGCAGATGAGAAGAACAAGTAATAGACTGGAACCTAGCAGCAAGAAGCCTGAGGCGCTGGAAGGAGGACATGTGTGAGAAGTAAGCAAAGTCCAGGTTGCGCAGCAGGAGGAAGACCAGGGAGGAATGATCTCCCTCACTAAGACACCTGGTGGCACTGCCCCTAAATTGCCTCAGCCCTGGGACCTGCAAACTTGGAGGGGCCTGATGCCTAGTCCACCTTGATGAGTAGCCAAATAAAAACTGGGTTCCCATCCACTAAAAAATAAAAATAAAAAGAATGTGAAAAACTAAAAAACAAAGCTCTGAGTATTACTATAAGTGCAGATTAAAGGACTGAATGTTTAGCTTTGCAGAATTTTCAAACAAACAATGCGACTGGATTCTTCATGTGCTATACTAGACATTTCTGCTATTTCTGCCACCTCCTCAGGACACTTTTAATGTCTCTGTTTCTCAGGCCATAGATGAAGGGGTTGAGCATGGGGGTGACCACAGTGTACATCACAGAGGCCATTGCACCCTTCCTGGGAGAATATGATGCAGCTGAACCAAGGTACACTCCAAAAGTTGTTCCTAAAAATAAGCCAACAACTGCCAGGTGAGACCCACAGGTGGAGAAGGATTTGTACCTCCCCTGTGAGGATGGGATCCTCAGAATGGTGGAAACAATTTTATAGTAGGAGAAAAGGATCCCTGAGATGGGGAAAAGGCCATATACTGCTCCAAGAAAATACTTGACAAAGTTATTATAGAAGGTGTTGGAACAGGAGAGTTTGAGAAGCTCAGAAGGGTCACAGAAGAAACTAGCGATTTCCATGTCCTTGAAGTTGGTGATTTGTAACATCATTAAAATGTGCAGTTGGCATTCCAAAAGGCTGAACAGAAATGACAACAAAGTTAAGAAGCCACAGAGGCGAGGGTTCATCATGACCAGATAATGCAGGGGATGACAAATGGCCACAAAATGATCATAGGCCATCACAGATAGGAGCATATAATCCATACATGCAAAAATGGTAAAAAGAGACATCTGAGTCAGACAGCCCACATAAGAGATGGCTCTGCTGTGAATTTGGATGTCCACAATCATCTTTGGGACTGTGGTGGAGATGAAGCAGATGTCAGTCAAGGACAGGTTGGAGAGGAAGAAGTACATGGGGGTGTGGAGGTAGGGTTCAGAGCTGACAGCCAGGATGATGAGCAGGTTCCCAAGCACTGTGACCAGGTACATGAACAGGAATAGACCAAAGAAGAAGGGCTGCAGGTCTGGATCTTCTGATAGGCTAAGGAGTTGGAATTAAGAAACATCTGTTAGATTTTGTGCATCTATATAACTGAGACATCTTTTGATAAAAAGAGTAAGGGAAAAGAAACATATCAGCAAGCACTCCTCACTCTGTGTACATTTGAATTCAAGTATTCACAAGGGTTGTTCTCACACTGGAGATCCACATGCCTTCAATGTAATTCTCAAAAGTGTACACCCAGTCTTGCATTCTCTTTACTCTCCATCATTCACCCCTCTTTCCACACCCTATTTTCAGACATTGAACTGAGAAATATTAGAAGCCCAGGAGCCGAGGACAGAAGAAGTTCATGATCACAATAAAATATAGCCTACTGTTTGAAGGAAATTTCAGGAAATAGTACTAACCTTCTAATTAAGCAAAAAATAATCTTCAAAGTTAATTAAGCACCAGTCCATTTTAACTTATTTTTTGCTAACAAGTTGAGACAAATTTCTTTGACTTATTCCACTTAAGACACCACCTAAACTCCTGACAGTATGTGTGTCAGGTATCTTCAAAGGGTTTCATCATTCGATGATTTCCTCATTTCCTTCCTCTGGGTTTTAAGCTTGCTGTTCAAAACATTTATAATATAAAACAAATATTCCAGTCTTTAGAGAACTTCAGATTTCAATCGATACGATTGAGTTAAATGCACATAATCAACAGTAACACAACCAATGGGATGGAAGTAGATGATATTGAAATCATAAATGAAGAGAAACATTTTGAATAGTTTAATTTTATAAAACCTTATTTGTATCAACCCAAACAATATCAGGAAATTATCTGCTGTACAAATAAGACTTTTGTTCTTTTTTTCCCCCATCTGACCTGTTAAAACTGCTTAATGGTTTGCAATCTCAACCTATCAAGTTTGCAGTTGAAGATTTTAGCACCATTGAAAGCCCTAGACCCAGATCTCTTTTCTAACCACCCTATAGCCACATCATGGATGTCTGACCATTCCTGAGACATGCACTGCAGTTCTCTTCCCAAAGCCACATAAGGGTAACTTAAGTTTGTTATTTGCCAGTTCCCACTGTGACTGAATTGGAAAACAGCACGAAAATTAAAAAAAAACAAATAGGAAATAATGAAATACTTCTGGGTAATTTCCAAATTGTAAATATGGGGAAATAATCATGAGCCTTGTATGGTCAATATATGAGATTATGTTTTAAATCTTTCTAATTGCATACTAATACTTATGTCTCACTATTATATACACCTGTGGGTACTTTAGGATGTACTTTAAGACATTAGACCCACACCAATTTAATCAGCATATTTGCATGTGAATTCCTTTCTTACAACAGAAAAGGAAACCACAGTCTAACAATATCCTGGCACTTAGAACATGCTCTAAACTATTAGCTATTATTATAGTTAATAATACCCATGATCTATATTAAAACATACAATTTTGATGACACCTGACTCAGGGATAACATTAGAACAAGATTTGAACAATTACCTAAGAAATTGGTATCTCTGCATGATTCTATTTTCCTGCAAACCTGTCTCCCTAACACACCTACTGTCAGGAAGCGGGGTAATTTTCTGTTGTTATTTCTATGTCAACATTATCTACCCAGACAGCTTTCTTATTACATATTGCCTTAAAAGTAATTAGAGCTCATCTAACTAGTGGGCAACACAATACTAATTGTCCGTAAATGTACTGCTTTACACTCACTTGTGGTGTGAAGTCTCCCTGTGAAGCACATTTCTCTACTTTAAAGGCTTTATCGGATGCAAAGTATTGGAGAAAGGACCTCCTTAAATTAGAAAATTAATATGGCAATCATTTCAAAGCCCTTCTGCCTCCCTCCAAGTCACAAATAAGAATGTCTGGATAACATATTGGCAAGGGATAGTTGTTTGATTTTCAATGAAAATGGCATGTCCAAATTTACTATAAATGACCTGCATTTTGGTCCCTACAAGAATGGTCAAAATCGCCTACAGATTCTAAATTCCTTATATGTATCGGGAAAATGAAGCTCCACGCCCAAGTAGTAATGTGCTGTCCTTGAAGACTCCTGAGGAAAAAGTACACTCACACATTATTGGTGGGGCTGGAAATTAGTACAGCCACTCTGGTAAGCAGTATGGAGATTCCTCACACAACTGGGAATGAAACAACATACCCAGCTGTTTCAAACTTTGGCATATATCCCAAAGATCCTAAAATCAGCAAACTATAGGGACACAGCTACATCAGTGTTTAGAGCATCACAATTCACAATAACCAAGTTATGGAGCCAGTCCGGGTAGCTACCCACAGATGGGTGGATAAAGAAATTGCAGTATACATTCACAATGGCGTTCTAATCAGCCCTAAAGAATAATGAAATTATGATATTTGTTGGTAAGTGGATGGAAATGGAGAACATCATGGTAAGTATAGTAAGCCAGCCTCAGAAAGTCAATGTTGAATGCTTTCTTTCATATGTGGAAGTTAGAATACGATAAAGAAAAAAGGGGAATCCCATAAAAATAGAAAGATCAGTGGAGTAGAGGAAGGGCTTTGAGAGGGAGAGAGAAGGATGGAAAAAGGGAGGAAGTGGAATAAAATTGACCATGTTATGCTGTGTGTGTGTGTATACATGTGTGTGTGTGTGTATATATATATAAAGATGAATACATCACAGTGAATTCCACCTTTATGTTTATCTATGAAGCACCAATTCAGAAAACAATGAATAAAGAGAAGAAAGACCAGGAGTAGAGGAAGTGGACGGGAGCTATTTATATTCCATGCTTGTATGGTGGAATAAAATTCACTATGATGTGTAACTATAATATTCTAATGAGAAACATTAAACATACAAAAGAATTTTATTTGGAAATACTAAAATCAGTTACCATTTGTTATTACCAAAGGCTAGGCAATATTCTATACCTATAATATATATGCCCTTATTTCTCATCAAATCTCCTGTTTAGGTTTTGTTGAGGTCCTCTCAACAGTGTTTTATAGTTTTTTTTTTTTAATTGCAGTAGAAAACAGATACAATTTTCTGTGCAACATATTGTATAAATATTATATAGATCATGATATGTTTTTGTTTTGAGTACAGATATCATATTATAATATGATATTTATACTCAAAAACCCATTATTTTTGGTCTGGTTTTATTTATCATATATCAAAGATGGATATTGAAATTCCCCAAAAAACAATGGGGAAAAATATAAAACACTTATCCAGATCAAGTGTCCAGAAAAAAAAATTATAGGTAAGAAACACATGCACAAACTATATAATTACCAAATGAGAAGACTTGAAAAGAAGTTTTTCCACTGACAATATTTAAAATTCCAACAAACTTCTAGAGAGATGCTAATACATCACAGGGAAATGGAAATTAAGGGTAGAATGAGACAGCACTTGAGAACACATTGGGAGCTATTTGGTTTATAGGATGAAAATAACAGGCGTTGGCAAGGATATGATGAAATCTGGATCTTTAAATGTTTGAATTTAAAATGTACCATGTAATATTAAAAATAGTTTGAGAATTCCTCAAAAAGTTAAATACCCAATTCTCATGTGAGCCCATGGTTCTACTTGTATATATATTGGCCAAATTATTTTAAAACAATATAGTCACGTATGGCTTAACTTAACAATGAGGATAGATCTGAGAAAGACATTATAAGGACATTTATTTTTTGTACAAACCTCAGGTGTTCTCACAAAAACTCAGATGGATAAAAAACTTTGGGGTAATATCATGCAATGGGACCACCGTCATACATATATGGGGTCTGTCATTATCTGAAATGTCATTATGCAGCACTTACCTGTATTCAAACAAATAAGTGTGCATGCTATCCATGGGATCCCTATTCTTAAGAACTGAACCAAGGAATTTACCCCAATGGTCATCATTGGATACATAGATAAACATTGCGGTGCATACTTACACTGAAATATTAGTCATGAAAAGTAAGAAGAGATAGTTAATATTAATCAGTAAAACAGCCAAAATGAATGAAGAAAGGAAGCAATGTGGGAAGGAAGGAAATATGGAAGAAGGGAAAAAACAGGGGATCACAAAGAATGAAGCAATGTCTCAGCGTTCTCCTAGGCATTTTATCATCATGATTCATAGGACCAAGCCAGCTTTCAAAGATTCCCAGATTCCAGGTTCCTTGTCCAAAATCTAATCACTGTTGTTACAAAAGGTAGCACAACAAAGTCAGTAGTCTGTACTCAGTTTCAGGGTTCCATAATACCCCATTCTAATCCAAGTCTCTTTCATTCAGAAACTATGTGAAAGACAGAAAATGTCTCAAAGAAATCTTTTCAGAATGAATAAAGTCACACAAGTCAAGTGACAACCACAGTCATGAAATTATAATCGTTTTCCTTTGACTTGTGTAACTTCATACCAGTTCCTTCAGGAAGAAGAGGTTAAGCACTTTAAGGTAAAGAAGATTCACATTCAAGAGGAAAATGTGGGGCAATGAGTGTCGGCATGTGCCATGATAAGGGCTTTAAATATCAGATTAGAATGCTCAGGACAAAAACTGACCCAAGTAGAAGGCATCTTTAGATTAAGAACCCCATAGATTAAAGACATCTGGGGGGAGAAAACTTACAAAGGATGTACTGATGAAGTGGTTGAGGTGAAATCAATACAAACTCTTATACAAGCAAAGTCAACGGTGTTTCTGGAATGGAAATACAAAGAAGCATGTTTTTCAGGGGAGAAAAGGGTCATGCTATGTAAACTCACAGCCTTTGCCTCAGAGACCCAAGCATCCACCTAGTTCTGAGGTCAATGTCCCTCAAGGACCAGAGGTTGCTCTGCTGAGGAGTCTCCCCAGGGCCCCCTTCACATCCTTGTTCCTCAGGCTGTAGATGAAGGGGTTCCGCATGGGGGTGACCACAGTGTACATCACTGAAATGACTGTGCTCTTGTTGGAAGAATGTTTCACAGCAGAACTGAGGTAAACCCCAAGTGCCATTCCATAGAACAAGGAGACCACACAGAGGTGGGACCCCCAGGTGGAAAATGCCTTAGACTTGCCCACAGAGGAGGACATCTTCATTAAGGAGGAGACAAAATGAGAGTAGGAGAAGAGGATCCCAGTGACAGGAAACACGCAGCTACAAGCAAGATGATGTTATTGATGAGGGTATCAGAACTGGCCACCTTGAGAACCTGTGTTAATTCACAGAAGAAATGTGGGATTTCAGTGCCTACAGAGAAGCTCAGCCTCTTCATCAGTAGAATGTGAAGCAGGGAACTACAGAAGATGATGATCCAACACGTCATAACCAGGAGGACACAGAAGTGAGAGTTCATGATGATCATGTAATTCAGGGGGTGGCAGATGGCCACAAAGCGGTCATAGGCCATCATGGTCAGTAGGAAATTATCCATTCCAGCAAAAAACATAAAAAATACACCTGAGTGAGGCACTCTGTGTAAGAGATGTCTTTCCTCTGTGCCTGGATGTTCACCAGCATCTTTGGGACCATGGTGGAGGTGAAACAGATGTCCACAAAGGACAGGTTGGAGAGGAAGAAGTACATGGGGGTGTGGAGGTGGGAGTCACAGAAGATGGCCAGGATGATGAGCAGGTTCCCAAGCACTGTGACCCGGTACATGGATAGTAAGAGGCCAAACAGGATAGGCTGCAGGTCTGGATCCTCTGTCAGTCCCAGGAGGAGGAACTGTGATAGGACTGTGTGGTTCTCCACTTCCATGAAGCTGTCTATTCCACTTGAGAAATCAAGGGGAATAGAAAAACAAACAAGTTAAAAACAAACAAGCAAATTTAAAAAGTCAATCAAATAAAAACAATACAACTGGATATCAAGTAATCCTCCCTTCACAATGTCACCCTCAGGTGGACGTCCTTTGGCATGTCTGATTCCTTCCCATAGTGATTCACATGGCTAAATGGTAACTCACTTCACTTTTGCATGTCTATAACAATACAGACTTTCTTTAATTTCGCAGAAATCTCTCATTTTACATCTACTCACCTGTTTTAATTCCCTTTTTAAAATTTAAATACATGAGATAATTTTGTCTTTGTTATGACCCATCCAGAATATTTTGTCAAATTTCATATTTTCCTTGATAATCCCCACATTTCCTTAATTGAAATAGCTCTATAATAATAATAAAGCATGGACTTAGAAGTAATAACAACATTTATTCTATGACTTAGTAATTCCTAATAGTGTGATTGCTAAGTCACTACCTACTTTAAACTAAAGATACTATTATTATTATTATTATTACTTGTTTTTAAATTTAAAAATTCCTATTCAGTGGAATTCAGAATAAGTGATACCTGTTGTTATTATTTTTATTATTCTACTTTATGATAATTGTTTTGGATAAGTAGCTCTCCCAACAAGCAGAATAGAGCTTGATCTGCAAAATTCTTGAGTTCTTGAGTGGGACTTCCTGGAGTAGATTTTTGCCTACCCATCTTATTATGTATGACCTTGAGAAAGTCATCTAAATTCTAATAATTATGAATGCTTTATCTCTCCAGTAGTAGTAGTAAATATTTCCTATATGATAGGACAAATAAAGAGATGTAATGACATGATGATATAATTGTTCTATTGTGGTTCCTGAGACATTTGATGAACACTTAAATGTGAACTTCTATTCTTAACATCACAATACATTTTTTCCTGCATGGATATCATTTAGCAACATCCCCTTAAGTCAGGCAGCCATCAGGATGAAATTATAATCATCATAAATACAACAAACCTGCTGAGCACAGTGGCACACACCTGTTATGCCAGTGCCTCAGGCAGCTGAGGCAGGAGGATCACAGGTTCAAAGCCAGTCCCAGCAGCTTAGCAAGGCCCTAAGCATCTTAGTGAGACACTTTCTCAAAATAAAAAAAAATAAAAGGGCTGGAGGTGTGGCTCAGTGGTTAAGTGTCCCTGAAAACAAAAATAAATTAATTAATTTATTAAAATGCAACAAAATTAAAAAAATATAAATACGCAGCCCAAAAATATAATAGTTATTACCTTAGGATCACTGTACAGCATTCCTAATTAATGGAGATCCTCATGGCTCCTACTTTCAGAGAATGCCTGCCTGGTGAACTCTTCCAATGTGAGGAATAAGAATGTGGACCACATGGATAGGAGGAGAAAATAATACTGCAGCACAATTAAACTCAAACACAATGCTTATGTGAGAGTGTTCTTGCTCTTTCTGCTCTTGAGTAGGTATGTTTTGTGATAAAATAGCTCAGGTAATGGCTAAAATTCTTTCAAAGTGCAGGGTCTACAGTTTCAAGGAGTAGGTAAGTCTGGGACATCCCAGTATCCTGATTCTGGAGCAGAGCCCAGGATCCAGGTCCTCCCCACGCCCCCTCCTTGCTCCCTAGCCTCACTGTGACCCACCAGCTCTGAGGGATAAGGCTGATGCTTTCTCTTCTCCACCCTCTCTCTCCCGGGGAAGCCCACTTGGGTTTTCATGGATGCTGCATCTGAGAATCACAGGTGAATACCAACAGGGCCATGTTTAAGGTTTCTGTCCTCTCAAGTGTGGAATTCTCAGAGCTCCTAATTAACTAGATTGTTCTATTGTCTCTCCAGCTCCAAATAATTCTGCTCCCTTGGAGTATGAAGGAGATAGCAGAATGGAAAATTTTCAGTCAGTTTTGTGTTTATCTATGCCCAATCAGTTAAGAAATGATTTCCTCCAAGGGCAAACTCACTGATTTTGGTCAGGTTTGAAAGTCACAAGGTGTCCCCTAAGGAAGGAGGAATTTCTACAAGGACACAATTCTAGGAACTTCCTATGACATCTCCCTTAAATTGTCTTTGGAGATTGAATGGATCATTGGGGTCCACAATGTTATGAGTGGAAAGAATTCCATCCTTTCCTTTTTCTTAATTATTTTTGTTGTTTTTGAATTTCATAATTTTAATGGACAGGATGGTGTTTATTGTGTATGACCTTCTGTTTAGAAGCATCACACACTGAAAAACAGTTAAATCTAAGAAATTAACATATACATTACCTCATATTGGTGTCATTTTGTGGTGAATCATTTAATATCCACTCCGAATTTTTCAAGCATACAAATCATTAGCGAGAGTCACCACACAAGAACACTTCTCTTGAACTTAGTCTTCCTGTCTAACTGCACTTTTGTCTCCTGTGACCAGTATTTCTCCCCCAACACCACCCCCCAACTTCTCTAGTTTTCTACTGAAATCAAGTTTGTAAAATTCCATGAGTGAGTAGTGACCTACCTGTCCCTGGTTTATCTTTCTTAATATAATATCCTCCAGGTTCATCCACGTTCTCATAAATGACAGGATTTCCTTTTTTATGCCTAAATACCATCGTGTGTGTGTGTGTGTGTGTGTGAGAGAGAGAGAGAGAGAGAGAGAGAGAGAGAGAGAAAGAGAGAGAGAGAGATACGCTCCTATGTGTGTGTGTGTGTGTGTGTGTCTGTCTGTCTGTCTGTCTGTCTGCACACACAGCACGTTTTCTTTATCCTGTTATGTATACATAGATGGACTCTTAGGTTGATTCCCAATCTTGGTTATCATGAATTGTGCCTCAATAAACATGGGAAAGCACATGTGTTTTTGACATCTTAAATTTATGTCCTGTGGACAAATATCCCATGGTGAGGTTGCTGCATCACTCAGCAATTCTGTGTTTAACTTTCAGAGGGACCTCTGCATTCCTAGCTACTTTGGTTGTTGGTTGTACTGATTTATAACCCCACCAACAGCCTGCAGGGCTTTCCTTTTCTCCACATCTCCATCAACGGTTATCTTCCACCTTTTGATGAAGCCCTTGTCACAGGTGTGAGGCGCTGTCTCATACTGGTTTTGATTTGCATTACCTGGATGCCTGGTGATATTGGCATTTTCATGTCTTCTTTTAAGCAAAGT